GTTTTTTTTAATTTTGAGGTTTAATTTTTCTTCGGCGTCTTCCTACAACTACAATATTGAAGATAAAAATCTTTCCTGGAAATGGGATTTGTTCTCCATATTTAGTTCATTCATTAAGATAAAGTACTGTTTTTTGATAATTTTAATCGTTTTTGCGCAATATTGCGTGCAATATGTGCAATTTTAAAAATAATCATAACAAGATTTTCTCAAAAACGGTTTTTTCTTCAAACTTTTGGTAAAGATAGTATTTAATGTACTCTATGAAATGACATAAATACTATATTGCTCTATTGTTTTGTTGTTGTTTTTGAAAAAAATCAAAAATTTAATTTTTGGATTTGTCTCTCGCGTCGTCAATATTTACATTAGCGGCAATTTGTTCATATTATTGCTTTTATGAATATATGTGCTTTAAATAATGGCAGATAATATTTCTTGAAAACTTAACAATTTTCAGTGAAAACGAACTCAAAATTCCGCTTTTTCAGAAACGCTCAATAGCCATTTTCTCAAAAACTGTTTCAATTTTTTCTTCAAATGTTTCGTGCACATAGTTCTAATTGCAGACTTTGAGATGATATGATTCATTTTGGTGCATAATTTTGTTTTTTTCGAAAATTGCACAAATGTATTTTTTACATATGTCTCAAGCCGTTAATATGCACATTTCTAACAATTAGTAAACACTATTCCATTTCTGAGTGAAAGTGTTTCAAATGACTTCCAAACGAATTTTTTCGAAAACTCAAAAAAATTCTGTGAAAAAGAGCTTCAAATTTATCATTTACAGTAACCGTAAACCACATGTTCTTATAAACAGTTCCGAATGTATCAATGAAAATTGCCAGTTAGAACGACGTTGTACTCTTATTTTATATTATTAGAGAAATATTTCGGCTTTACTGTTAGAAAAACCGACAAATTGAGAAAATTCAGTAGAGAATGGGCATGGCCAAAAGTCTAGGCCAGAGCAAATAAATTAGAAAACTCACCCGAGAAAGTCTGTGCCATTCTGCAGCTACACTAGTTAAAAGTTTGATAGAGGTAGTGTGAAACCTTCTGTAACAGATGCGATAAATTTCATTGTGCTCTATCCTCTCTGACGTATATCAATAATTACATTACTAGCAATATGTATTAATTATTACATTTATGAGTACATGTGCTTCAAATTGTCATATAAAGTTTCTCGAAATCTCAAATGTTTTCTGTAAAAATTAGCTCCAAAATCCACATTTTCACAAAACGTACAAAAGCCATTTTCGGCCATTTTCATTTACTCATCTTACTTTTCCAAAAGATTGTCATGGGCCAGGAGGTATGTATCCGTGATGTACCACCACTCCGGAAGTTTGTACAACCCTTACTTTGAAATCTCGCGCCAATTTCTCTGGACGCAGAGCCCGCAAACTCTAGTAAGCTAGTTACCTTGTCCGCGTCCTTGTCATGCCTGCACTATCAGCAGTTAACTGAAATATATAGTTTCTCAATGACGTGACCCAGTAAATTTTTAATCTATTTTTCTCTATTATGTGACGAACCAAATCGCCACCTATTAGTTATCATCAGTTCACATCTGCCCTGTCAGAGGATATTTTGCTGGGAGCGCTGCTCACATATAAGATAATGCCCGTTTGAACAATCTAGCACAGTGAACCTTTTCACAGACAGTTTTCTTCGTAACTCCGAAACCGAAGGTGTGTGAACTTACTACAAGGAGAGCTATCTACTCTCCCGAAACAGGACGTCAAAGGAGATATTCAGACTCCGCTAGAGGGACATGTAAAGTCTCAGCTTCTGATGTATTATATCGAGTCACCTGGGAGAGAAATACATTTTCCAACTGAGTTGAAAGAATTTTTGTTCTGTTGAAGAGATGTGCTCAATAGTATCATGAGTGTGTTTCTTTTTTCTCTCCTGACAGTTATTACTCCTTTTATTTCGAGTTGGTGCTATCTTTTTTGTTACAACTAGCATTACTTTCCGTACACTTTAGGTTTTCCTTTAATCACACTTCAATTACTTGTTTAAGATTCTTTAAAATATTTCAAAAGACATGAAGTTCAGTTTTAAGTGACTGACCAATCTCCACGCATATTTATGACAGGGATGAGAGTTTAGCCTCGAGTGATCGCTCTTCCTCATATTTTTCCTTTAAACTTCCTTCTACGGTAATTAAAAGTTCATTAAACTTTTTTTCTTTCTTTCTTTCATCATGGAGCTTTCCAAATCAGTAAGCAGGGCAGACTGCTCTTTTGTAATAAATTAATTTTAAAATCCAATCTCTCTATGGCGTTGTTTGTTCATTTTGTTCCATCTTGTGTAAGAAATCTTCTGGAGAATAATGCAGTTAACTGACTTACTATAAAATAAATGTTAATACAGAAATCTTAGACATAAAAACTATAAATTTTTTGCAGTTGTCTGTAAATATTCCAAAATTTGCAATCATTCCAAAGAAAAGAAATAGATAACACTAAAAAACGTTGTGACTATTTTTTATTTTGCTCTCTTATTACCAAAGCATTTCGTACCAATCATATATGTAGGTACATAGACGTACGTCCACTTTAAAAAAATACAAAATATGAAAACAATGTAAATGGGGGATAAAAATAGGGATGGGATAAAAGGAATTCAGTCAAAAAGTAATTGATAAAAGAGTACTTGATTTGATTTATTTGCTCAATAAAAAGTAAACGATTTATGCGATCTATGGGGAAAAGTAAAGCATGCTCTCATCTTCTTGATCTCCAGAAACTCCTCCCCACCCTTTTATTGTGAGATAGTGAGAAATGCGCTTTTAATCCAACTATTATTTAGTACTTTATTTAATTTATAACCCTCTCTAATTAGGTAAATATTTAATTTTAATTTTGGCTAGCTCAGGTTTTTCCTATAGCGCGCAGCAATACTTACTTCTCAGGGTCTGAATGTTCTCTTCTGGCGAGCCTAAAAGTAACCGCTCGTTTGATCCGTAATTTAATTAATACCCACCGAAATTACTCACGTGTCCGTATGATATTCTAATCCCCACTAATTCCAATATTTTCCCCTCTATTAGTCACACTGCCTTCCCTTACATTTTCATTATTTATCACACGCCATATAATTCCTTTCTTTATATTCCCCATTGTTAATGTCATTTACCCTTATAATTTGTACGAAATGTGTTTAAATTTCATTTACCTTATGTTGAATCATCACATATATCAGTTATACTATTATAATATGAGTGCCTGTCAGTTATACTGTATAATGTGAATCCAAAAAATTAAGAAAAAAAATGTTTTTTGAGGGCTGCGATAGGTGGCTGCTGGTAAGAGGGTGAAGCAAAAGCAAAGAGCTAGCCCAGGCCGAAGATATTAGAGAACTAGTACGAAAAAGTATGTGCCTATAGAAATAGCACCACTAGTTACATCCTTAATCACAATGATATAGGGTGTATATCAACACGCGAGTGTTCTCGCGCGGGTTCGCTAATTAGTTTTTAAGATTAAGATAAAGATAATTAAGATTAGGATACGTTTATCTAAGATTAATTTTGAAAAGGGTTTGATTATTCCCACACTTGGGCATACAAAATACAGGAAATCCTAACTCCGTAATGTCATTTTGGATTTCGGGTAGATAAGGAAAGAAAACAGAAATTTAGAAAATAACATATTTTATTATTTTTCACAAAATACCACTTAGAGAGTAGAATAAAATGGAAAGAGTTGATAAAATATCCAACAGAAACGCTTTGGTTTTAGGCAGCTAAGCATGGAGTTGCTCCTTAATTACTTGTCTTCCTTCTTCACCTTTCCCATGGAGTTCCACTCTGTAACAAGAAATGCGACACGTTAGTATAATCAGTAGTAATAGAGAGAACTATTACGCAGTAAATGTGCATAGTTATTATAGAACGCTACACAGATGAATATATTTTATTGCCTATAATAGTTATTTATGTACTTAGGACGTTAAGAATTATTTTTGGCCCCAGGGAGACTTCGAAACCCGGGCCCGAAGGGGGCTCTGGCCCGAAGGGGTTGGAAGTTGCCTGAGCGGCAAAACATCTAATAATACCGTGCGTGGGTCTTACAAAATTTTATGGATGACCAGTTCTTTGCTGAATAAAATGAGAATTCGGAACATTTTATAACTTTTTTGCGTTTAAAGGCAAAAGGCGCATTGTAATAGTGAGTTGTCAATGTGTCAGATAAACAATACATAAGTGTGTATGTAATTACTATTGCATAACCGTTGTTGAATTCATTTGTTCGTACAAAATCAAAGAAAATTGAGAAGTTCCTGTCAAGTTATCTCAAAAGCTAACAAAGCTAATGACTGTGGTTTCCAGTAAAATCTCGAGAAATATATGAAAGTATCTATGATTTATTTGAGAGTTATATGACAGTATGAATAACATTGTGAATTGCGCTGATGAAACGGTACTTTTAGGTTACTTGCCTGTATTGCCAAAAGTTATTTAGAATATTTCATAAGATGAAAAAAGAACATGTCGATTATGTTAGCCGATGTCCCTTATACATCTTATTACTACTAGTAGAAGTGCTGCTACTAAAGAAGTATATGTCTCTAAAAAAAGGTGATAAGTAACAGTGAAATACGAGTGACTGATGTCATTTATAAATTCGTTGAAACATTTCAAAATTGCAAGTTAGTATCAATTAACCAAAACACTGTACTAATTATTTTACTTATTGAGCATTATGCCATTTATTGATTGTATTTGCTTGAATCTTAACTTTAAGAAATCGAATTCATAAAAATGTTGTAGTAGTTGTTGACTTGGTATTAGAGCGGACCGTAAAGTATACAAAAGGCCCTCGCGGGCATAAAGACTTAGAAAGGTTCGCAAAGTTATTAACAATGGCATAACAGTTTTGTTTCAGGTCCGTAAACACACCAATGAACTAGTAAACCATAAAATTAATTAAGAAACTGGTAGGTATGAATGAGAAAACCAAAATAATTATTTGCCGAAATTTTTAACTAACCTAAAAAAGAGTTAGTCTTTGGATTATGAAGTAACGGTTTCTGGGTGATAAGACAATAGGCGTCGATTTCGTTTCAAGTGAGTGAAACTGCAGTCATTCTGATTCGTATCGCCCCGATGGATTTTTTTCACGGGCTGTTTTGCATACGTATTGTAAAGTTAATCTTTCTAATAAAATATTTTTTAATTAAAAAACGCTAAACGGAAGAAATTGTTTTCAAGCATGAATGCTCAAACTTTGTTCTATAGCTTTCATGCAAGGCTTCTCAATGAAGTATTTAAAAAAGAAATGAAATGAGTCGTGTTAAATTGAGCAAACGACAAGCAATAGGGAAAATGGGACAGCACCACGGCGTGTATTACAAATCCCACGATTCATTAGGTAAAAATAATAGACTTTTAAGGAAGCGCGCGAGAAAAAGAAAAATAGGTTTCGAATTGTGACATGTGAAAAACCTAAAACTGTCAAGAACCAGTTCGTCATTTAAATCGTTCTTCCAATCTGTGATGGGACTATTAATGCATAGAAACAAGTACTGAATATTCAAGTTTTGTTTACTGAACGGAAAGTATTAGCAAAAGGGAAATGACATATACCTCGTAAGTCTATGGTATTAGTTTGGGTACGGCAAAACAGACTTTGCCGTTCGCTTACAGCAAAGAAATGGTAAACAAACACAGAGACAGTATCAATGTGGCTATCGCCTTGCACATTGAGAAAGATCCCACGAGTCAGTTTCCATGGATTGACACGAAAATGAATGTAGCCAACTCGTACGAAAGTGCCTTTAGTCACAAATTGCTTGTGAAGATCGCGGGCAAGGTAAGAAACATGCTTACAAGAACTCGCGGCACGGCGTCCAGAGAAATTGGCGCCAGATTTAAAAGTAAGGGTTGTACAAATGGTTACGGATGGGTGCTAAGTCACTGAAGATCTGGCTCAAGAGTCTGTGGGAGTCGTTATTTCGTACTTATTGTCTCAAATTGAGTTATATTAACTTCCAATTTCTCTTTAAAGCAAAGAAATGATCCATTCAAATGAAATGCTGTATCAGTCAGATTTCAAATTCTCTATTGAGAGTAACATTAAAAAATTTGAATCAAAAATATCTTGTATTTGTAATCCTGTTTACTTAACAGTGATATAAAAGCATTAACTTTCTACGTTCATTTTAGGAGATTTAACAGATAAATATTCTTGTCGGTTAAAAACGCTGTCCGTTTTTACGTTAGAGAAACGTGTTGATTTATTTCACATTATTGCTAAATACAATAAAAAACTGAATGATTTAATCCCATACAACAAAACGAAAACAAGGAAATAATTCGCAATTCAAATATATTCCTATCACTTAGCAAGGATGTTATAAAGTTAGAATTTAGTAAGAAAATAAACACGAAGTAGTGAAGAATATAAACATATTTCAATTCTCATATATTTGAAAGAAAAAAATCTGGCAAACACATTTTCGAATGAAGCCTCTATTCACCGCCGCTTCAGCTTGCGCATGTACACCCCTTTCTGGATTTTAAGGGGAAATAACCGCGGAGTGAGGGGAAGTTGCTCGTGCCCATAGTATAATGCCTGCCTCCTCAGACGAGCAAGTAGTTCTTGCGGGCGTGGTTTGACGTGCCTGCAGAATACACTTATTTCAAAATGCCGGACTTGGCTCCTCTTCCGTCAACACTCCATTCGTACGACAAAGCATGTCTTTCGTGCTATTACATTACTTTTCTAGATTATAATAATTAATTCTATTATTTATTTTGTATTTTGGTGTCCATTTTTTTAAATGTTTTCACTGTTTGTTTGCATTTTCTTATTATTCATGAAATCAACAGATGGGAAACTGATTATTTCTGACCCAAGGGGAAACTGTTACCACATCGTGATATATTATTCGTCTTCATTGTATTCCGTTTCATTTTTTGCGGCATTAATTTAGCCACGTTTACCATGCCGACTTAACTTATACCCGTGCATGTAAGGCGTGTAATTCAAGCACCCTGCTTGGATTACACGCCTTATGCCCTTTACAAGCTGACTCTGTGAAGCTCTATCTCGAAATTTAAGTGTATTAATGTATATGACTGTACATGTAAAAGTGTGTAGGTCTCGATTTGGATGTGATTCACTCGAATGTTCTGTTATTTATATTATTTATATTCTATTTAATGTTACTAATAAGGAGAAATCAGTGGCAAACATCAGAATTGTGATCCCAAGTCCCCAGAAGATTTCATTTTCACCACGTTGAGCTACTTTGTTTTAAAATTTGAATGTATTAATGCTTTTCTGAATTTTCATGACGGAAGGAACGTTGAAAGGTTTACATTACTGACTTCAAAACGCGCCAGTCACGAATGACGAGTTGCGTAGTCTT